ACCCCGTTATGTGCAGAATGCAGAAGCCTTCGGAAGGGGGCGGGGGAGGATCAGTACGTCGACTGAGGAGTAAAAGTTGGCTTTCACCTTCGAGTCATCTTAGGCGGATGCATAAGTTATCGTAGAAGATTTTCTTTATTTTTATTTATTTATGTGTTCCGCAACCACATTGAGCAGAGTGATTTTACAAATTGGCAAACACTACCCCAGAATACAAGGAAGGTAATAATACACATTGAAAATATGCAAGTTAACACCTTTAGTAAGTAATTACCAACAATGCAACGTTAGCAGCGGTGAGGTATTTCAGCTTCGACGGGGAGTTTCTGTGCGAAGACTACGGGGGCTTTAGTGGCACGGCTTTTTTATCGTGAATGCTCGAATCAATCCGCGTTCATAGATGTGAATATTGCCATTTATCTACATGATTGTGAGGCTACGTGTCTTTCTTTCCGTTTTCTTTTTGCAAACAGAAATGCAACGATTCCGCACCGGCTCACGGGTTGCGTTGTACTAACATTGCTGTGTTGGGACTGAGAGCAAAACACTTTTCTGGCCCTGGCAGCTCGCGATATGAAGCTATAGCGGAGAGGTAAATCTATCGTGATCGCAAAATGTCATGAAAGTCGCGAATAAAATTTGTTCAAATGTTAGTAAATATTCTAATTAATGATCGCATGTGAAGGAGGGGATAATAAAGGTTAACCATTTGAACCCCGTATTTTTCATTTTGGCCAGACCATTTATTTGTGCGTGTTTTCTTGATTCGCAACTCTGCAAAACACTCCTTGAGCTAGCAACAGTGGTCGAAAAACAAAGATGGCTGCGCTTAACAGAGTCAACGTGGCAGTTTCTTAGAAGTGTGGCAGCTTGGGCTAGTTGGTATGGCATGACGATAGTTATAGCGCGAGAACAAAACGACGACAGCTGTTGTTTCTCGATTGTGGTGTCGGATCGCGTTGCTTCGCCGAAGGCGAAAGGGTGCTGGCGGCGGACCACCTCATTCTCATCGGCATAAAGGATTTCGCTGCCGAAACAGTGGAAATAGTTGCGATGTGCGCGCAAACATCGAGCCTTTTCGGCGAACCGCAACAGATTTACTTCAAGTTGAAGAACCTGTCTAGCGAGCCTAAGGTTGAAGAAGGCACCTGCTTATATGTACGGGCCTTTCCGAAAGGTGCCAGCACTTTTGTGCTGTGTTGCTACACTGCTACAAGCTAGGCTTTGTCGGTTTTCGAGATAACTACACTGCGACTCGTGATGCCGATTGCATGTATTTGATTGAGTTCCGTTGTGCCGTTAAAGCTGAATACGCGCACCGTTCACTTGTTTACAGAGCGTAGCTATGCTTGGACCAGTGTATCTTGAGATAAAGGTAATCATAGCTTTGATTTTAATGGAAGTGTTTTTTTCTGTTCACCGATCTATGTTACCATGTTTCTGATGAATAAGGCCACGTGCTTCTGACCACTCGTTTGTCGTGTAGACCGTAGTTGATATTCAAAGCAGGTATATGCACGCAGACTACGAATGCACGAACATGATGTATATACGAACGAACATACATGCATGTACGCACGCCCGCGCGACCTTCACGCGTGCGTTAGGGTGTGTGTATAAACACACATGCGAAATAAAAAAATATATTCGGGGGAAAGGATTACAGCAGCATAATTTGAGAATGGGTAGCACTACGACTTGCACAGAAAAGAAGCATGTGCGAAAAATAGTCACACATGCAACGCAACTAATTTCATAAAGCACTTGCTTATATAAACGAAACTATACCCCGTGCCTATTCAGAGAAGCCCGGGTATTGATAAGAATGCACACAAGATAAATAATGGTGCAGTCACTGAGGAGAATTCAATTGTCATGAGCGACTTGATTAGGACAAGCTACCGCAGTGTCCGCCACCTTTTTTTTTTTTTCAGTACGTAAGCTTCTGATTTGCGCCGTTCTCCATCACGCGTCATCTGCATCGGTCAGGAAGTGATAGAACGATACGTTGCCATCTTTTCACCACGATGATGATTTGTGGGATTTAACGTCCCAAAACCACCATTTGATTATGAGAGACGCCGTAGTGGAGGGCTCCGGAAATTTTGACCACCTGGGGTTCTTTAACGTGCACCCAAATCTGAGTACACGGGCCTACAACATTTCCGCCTCCATCGGAAATGCAGCCGCCCCAGCCGGGATGTGACTTTTCACCACGATACAACGCATTGCGACAGACTGCGACGGTCTCAGGACATTGAGTTCTTATTTTCCGTGCTCGCACGTGCAGCATGGCGAAAAGAAAAGAACTATGTGGCCGCTTCTCAACGCGCGCGACTTGGTAACATGTCTGCGCCCGCCATCTCGGAGGCCATGCCCTGTTAAAGCTGTTTCCAGGCGTGGCCTCTAGGTGGCAAGCACTCAATTGGAGCCGCGAACAGTTGGGACCTCAAAAGACCCCAAACAAAACATTGAGCCAGTGGTACACGTATTTATGGATTAACAAACATGGTGTTGCATAGGTCGTTAGAACTCAGTGATTGCGAAATCAAAACAATGGCTTCTCTATTCTTTCTACTCAACAGATCACACAAAATACGAACCAACACTTTATTTGGCAGTGTTATAGTCATTGAAATAGCTTCCCCACTTCGTCCTGAAGAGGGCGTTAACCGACCTCATCATGGAGGAAGGAATAAACTTCCTCCATGCACCTCAGCTTACGCGCCACGGCGTCACCCATGGCTTCGTTCAAGCTTCGTAATCGTGACTTCCTTTGGTGTCGATCACAATGGGGATCATTGATGAAGTATTCTCTTAAGAATGGGCAGTTTTCTTTTCGTTTGCGAGGTTCTACAGGGGAAATGTTGTGTGGTGGTGTCAGTTGACGCTGCCAGGGCGGAAATGGTTGAGTACAGGAAAAGTTCAGATAACCGCTTTTATAAGCAATTGAAACATAATTCGGACGAGCAACTTAATTACACGCTGAAACCCCAGAAAAGTGCCTATACAGGTCTGCTGTAAGGGAGCATGAAGTGGCGTTTGATGGATACGTATTATCTAAGTACTGAATTAGAAAGGAGCATGTTTACTGCGTGTTATAATTAATTGGTATTAGTTGAGAGTCACAATAAACCTTAAAATGTCTACTGGTTCACTGCAAATAAATCCATAGCAAGACTGCGTTTGCGGTGTAGGTCCACGTACAACACTCGACTACAGTAGTGTAATGTATACGCTCCTCTCAGCTGAGGGTAAAGGAAATGGTGACATTATTCGATTTCCCCGTGCGTAGTTTGCGCCGCTCTCACCACTCTCGTGGCGGCGCTCGCATCATGCACGCGCGCTCACTGGCTCCGACTGTACCTGCGTGCGCTTCACTTCGCTTGCGTCATGCTCGCGTCAAGCGACTACTATACGCTGGCTAGAAATACTGGTAGCGTGTGTTTTTTGCTGTGCTCTCCTGATGGTACTCACACCGCACCTTCTCCTTTTTCCACGGCTCGCCTCTCGTACGGCCCTATCTGGCGCGAAAGCGTTCGGACCCGTCGATATAGTCGCCTGGACGGATCCTGTAGGATCGAGTAAGACGTGTGCGTGCTTGTGTTCGCTCTGTTTGCGTAAAATAAGAGGTGAACGACGGCCAACATCAATTTCTTAGAGTGTGTTCACACAGTCACCAAGGAACAGACAAGCAACCAACACAGTCCCTAAGTTTACATTTAGTCTTGAGCTTAAGCACTTTCGCAATGTGCGTTTTATGTTTTTGTGTGCGCTTCCTACGCAGAACTACAGAAGCCACTTTTTTTAATTTGCGCTCCTTGCTGCCAAATCTATGTGGCTTTACCACAGTGTATACGTGCTGCAGGGTTGCGGCATGTGGGGCCCTTCAATCGGCAGCTCACCGGTGACTCTGTCAAAATACTGGAGAACGGTGTAGAGAGAACGCATTTTGACAGGTGGAAACAGATCTTAAGCTTTTGGGTTTCGAAGATAAGCTCTATCTTTAGCTTTTCCAGCCAAACGCTAACACACTTTCTATGTGCTCACAGGTCAAACGCCGATCAGTATACTGGGCATCTTCTGGTTGACAAGAGGTTGTATTTGGAGATTCGTCTCTGCCGAGTTTATGAGAAAGATGACTGTGACATTTTATCACCTTTGCAGGTCTCCGTGAGTGGATGAAAGTGCACCATTCATGTGCGAGTTTCAGGGACCTTTGTACTTGATATATCCTGCATTATTGGTGACCAATGCTAACGTTGGTTGTAGGAGTACTCACTTCCCGCAGTGTCAAAAGCCGTGGTTTGCTCACTGCGCCCGTTTCTACAGTGGCAGCTGCATCAACACTTAACATAATGAACATTACTGGTGGCTAAACCTCCTATGCGGCTGTGTTCTTGTATATCGGAGTTAGATAGCGTACAATATTTTTTTTCTGTTCGTCTTAGTTGTTATAACTGGCGGGGAATACACTGTTCTCAGCGTCTTGATTAGTGATCACTGTTATGTAGAATGAGATCGGGCGTATGACAAACATGAGTACACTCGTATTTCACACATATACTAAATTGCAATTCGTGCGTTATTTGATGAGCGTGTGTAATACTGATTAGATGATGTCAGTGGCGTCGGATATATGGATGGCTGAAGAATGTTAAGAATACGCTAGCCATTAGGACAGCAATAAACCAGCTACTTCATTAAGGTATCTCTATGAATGGGTGTCAGCTGCAATAAAAAGAGAACGTACAGAACTGAGATCGGCACATTCGAAAAATTGGTGGCGTGAGGTAGAAGACGACGAAGAACAGTGATAACGGAGTGGGTGCTTCGAATATCACCCACAATCAACTATATCAATCCAAAACAGGCATTTGTCTGTCTCTGTGTGGTTATACATAAGATGAGAGCTGAAAAGTAGATATTACGAGGTTTTATCGCATTCGCGCGAATTCACATGGAGGGAAGGAGTATGCCTCCTTCACCTTCAGACGCACCTTGCTGACGTAGCTACGGTGGGAGCCGCGACGCCTCCACGACGCTTCGGAACGCAAGGTTCCCGCTTGATGGAGGCTAGGGTCTTTCGAGCTTTTGGTTCGGGCGCCCTTTTCAGCTCGACGTGAACGCCCTGCGACATCTCTGCATTCGACTTGTCACCTTGGGACACGTTATCGTCCATGGCTCGTCCCCACCAGCCTCCAGGAAGCCGGCTACAAGGTTGATTTGCCGCAGTTGCGGCGCGCCACTTTCACTTGAGTTCTTTTCACTGCTGGATTGCAATGGCGGGGCAGCCTTAAGACATCCTCTGCACGGTGGTATTCGGCTTGGTTCCCGTCGGACCTATCATTCACTTCTTTGCAAAACATAAGCCTTCAAGGTTGCTTGCTTGCTTGCTTGCGCCTTGACTAGTTGACTCCTACCCACTACGGGCGATTAGCCGTAAATCCAACGGTTAAAATTAAGAAAATATTTTATTTTAAATTTTGAAAAGACATGAGGAAGAAAATCTAACGCCACATCAATAAAAATTTAAGAATGACCAGTGTAAATACAATAATACAGTAACACGGAAAACATCGAACTAATGAAATTACTTGCGAAGTACAAAAATCTTATAGAGAATTTCTTACCATAGAATTCTTCTTGTGTCAACAAGAAATTCGCTTATAGCCGAGCAGACGCCCCTGTTGCTGAATCCTATAGAGAAGACAACACATGGTTGCAGCATGTGGGCTCACGAAGTTAGCTGATTGGATCTTGTTGGTATGGTTCAACCCACTACATGGAATGAAGGGAGAGGGGAAAAAGAAAACCAAAGAAAGATGGAAGCTTGCTTGCTTGACCCTTTACAAGTGGCTCGTATCCACTACGAGGGATTGGCCATTGCGAGAGTAGAGTGAACGTTTGCTTTTTCTTCCACGCACCAGCCCTGAGAAACACGTCCGGTATTTCGGGATTCTGAAGCATTTTATGAACCCGCTACGTCGTTTTTTTTATTTCTTCAGACTTCTCGAAGATTCACCTCGGTTCTTTTAGAACAATGCGAATGTGAAGCAGTCAAAGGTCACACTGCCTGTAACGTTTATTGAGTGGCAGCCTGGATACTGCTGTAGAAGCCGAAGGCAGGGCTGTGGAAGTGTCACGACATGGACCAGTAAACTCGTTTTTTGTGCTTACAGACACAGCGAAAAACAGCTTTTTAACCATGATTAAACGAAGAAAAACATTTTCATGATCAGCAGACTGCAAATACCTACCCGGCGTAAAGAGAGATAAGGCCGAATGAAAAAAAAAGACAGTTTTAATTGCTTAGATTGTAGTTATTATCTTTCTTAGCTGAACAAAGGGCATGGGTCAAGTACCGTGTATACATTCAACTTGGCTGGCCTTTATACCTTCATTGTACAAACAACTTTTGCGGTTGTGTGGTGTTTTTTCTTGCAATATATGAAAATATACAGATTGCTTCAGGTTGGATGAAGCAGGACTGTTAACAACGCCCGCTGCTAAGAGGAAATAACGTGCCACGCCTTTTGAGACTATAGGCCGAGTAATTTCTGCAGTGTACACACAAAAACTTGGATATGAGGCGCGTAATAGTGGGACCAGCCTCCTGATCAACTTATACCACCGAGAGTTCCTTAATGGACATCTACAGGGTCATTACTTCTTTGCGGTCCCGTCGAAACGCAGCCGCTGGGAATATTATACAACTAGCGAGCCTGAATGAATAATCGTCTTGTATACAATTTTTTTAGAAAACATAACAGCATTTCAGAAATAAAGAGTTCTGGCGACCAGACTTTTCAAGGTCTTTTCAAGGGCATACACACCAGGCTTGAACAAGCCAATGCACGGCTGCTTAGCCAGTTAGTTCTCAAGTGCAGTGTATCAACTTCAATCAAAACAATACAGCGGTCAACATATTTCATTGTTTATATCACTAAGACCGCGAATTCATGTGCTAGTAAGCTCTCACAGAAGATCAAACGTCATTTGTTTCAATCTCGGCTCTGTTAGTTCTCCGGTGTTCTTATGAGCAATATTTTTTGTTACCAAGAAATACCTATACTTGAATTTGTATAGATGATATTGCGTTTTCGCATCTGCATAAGGAGTTCTATACCACCTCACTACCATACACTTATCTCAGTGCCCTGGAGACCTGGCTGAGTTGGAGCGATTTTTACATAAACGTACTGTTATAGTTTTCTCAGCACGCCACCTTGCGTTGTCATCTTGAAGATATGCCACAGGTGGAGTCGATTAAGTACATCCAGGTGAGCTGTGACGCATCTGTAAACTGGCACCTACAAATTGGTTGCGTATTACAGTCGAAACTACCGCACTTGCGATTAGGATTTTTTCGTGAGCGTCAAAAACAACCGTAGACGGGACATACACTCCTAGGGAGGCGTTGCGTGCATGTACTTGTATCTTGTTTTCAAAATTTGGTTGCGTAGTTTCCTTCGCTGCTTCAGTTGGCAAGATATTCCTGTTCATTGTAACTTTAGTGTTAAGGGTGAAGTATACACAGTAGATTTGGGTTAGTTTTAAATCTAATTTGTCTATTTTTACAAAACCTATATTTCGGACATATTTCCGCACGTGAACAGTTGTGGCTCTTTTGCTAATATAACATTTTTATGAAAACTTGGCGCATTTTCTTATCAGAATATTAGGCGTGCAATGAACCTCAAGGAGCGAAATTGGGCCACAAAATTTAATATAGTCTCCAGTGATATGAAGGTGCCCCTAGGGTTAGTGCCCATTTTTTTGGTCATTTAATTACTGTGCTTGTACTACTCGTAAAATCTCATTTGATTTGGTTCATTGCACAGGCCAAAGCTTTTTATATGTGCGTCAAAAAATAAAACATTTTCAAAGAGCAGAACTTGAGTTAGGAGGGTTTGCGCAACGCATACTTTCAATAAATTTTTAATTAGAAAAAATAACATAAGACATGACTTGCTTAAAACGCTCATATGTGCCTAAACGACGTGCTTTATATTGCAGACTAATTATTTCTAGTGACTGTTGCTTTGAAAAAAATTCTGTCACTTCGCCTTATACCTTAATCCTGTGAGCGTCATCAATTTCAAGATGCTGCAATGTGCTAGCATGTAAGCTGTACACTGTGTAAGTTAATGTGAAGCTAGGAAGAAGAAATGGGGTGATTTTCCTCCTACGTATTGCTGGTAAGATTTTGTTCTGTTTGCGGGCTATTTGATCAGCGCAAGAAATAGAATGCCTCGAAGGGCCTGCTTTTGTAAGACACGACCATATGCATCCAGCAAATAATGAAGTGGAAATCGAGCCCATAACCTTTGCATTACGCGTGCAATTCTCAGCTGGTAGTGCATCGCACGCGTTTAAGCACACTTGGTCAGCTCGGTCACCGCTGGCGGCAAGCTGTTCTTTTGTACAAGTTCATTTCTCTTCACAATATTATTACACTATCATCATCATCATCATCATCATCATCATCATCATCATCATCATGATCATTACCAACAACAACAACAACAACAACAACAACAACAACAACAACAACAACAACAACAACAACAACAACAACAACAACAACAACAACAACAACAACAACAACAACAACAACAACAACAACAACGAGGCCAGGAAATAATATCCCAATAATTTTCATGACCTCATCATTTACTTGTAGGCTTAATATTGCTACGGGGTGCCACAAATGAACATTATAGGAAAGAGGACAATGTTTAGGGCGAGCTCGTGCAGACTGGGCTCCATATTGTATGCCTGCCTGTTTACCTAAAGTAAAGGTATTTTTCAGACGCCTTCTCCCCGTAACAATATAAACGCAACAGCTTGTTTTGAAATTCCTTTACTCCATTTCCGCCTCGGTGGAACAGCAGCTACGGTGTTGGCTGCTGAACCAAAGGTCGCGGGTTTGATCCCGGCCGCGGTGGTCGCGCTTCGATTGAGGCGAAAGAGTAGAGGCGCGTGTACTCAATGCAGGTTAAAGAACCCCAGGTGGTCAGAATTTCCGGAGCCCTGCACTACGGCGTCTCTCATAATCATGTGGTCGTTTTGGGACGTTATAACCTACATATATTTTAATAATAATAATAATATAATAATAATAATAATAATAATAATAATAATAATAATAATAATAATAATAATAATAATAATAATAATAATACTTTACTGTACACATCCATATGAAATACAAAGAAAAGGGCCTGTCTAAGTCCCCAGGACTTGTGAGACTAGGCCCGCGATGTGAATACAACGAAACAAAACTATTGTTGTTTCCTTACCAACGAACAGACAAACGATTGACACCATTACTTTTTTACAGGCAGTAAGTAAAAAAGAGGAACAAAGGAGGGACACAGAGCATACGTGGCATACAAATAGACCATGTGATTTTACAGCTCAGAGAGCAATTTCTTTATTTGCCTTTTTGAACTCGCTGAAAAAAATTCGTCAGGTAGTGCTTTGAAAATTTTTGGAATATATACACTTCTACATGCTTCTCAATATCTGGTTGAGAACCAGGGTACTATAAAACGCTTTTTTTTTTCTCAGGGGTCGACGCGTTACGTATGACACTTTAAAGTCATCACACCAATTGTATCTTAAAACAACTGTCTTAATAAACAAATCCTGGAATACACAAAAGCCCAAATCCTGAAAAATAGTACTGGCATCTATCTTATTACCGTAAGCTACACTTTTAAAAATATTTCGAAGTAAACTATCAATGCGTGTTTTCCAGCGTTCTGAGCAAAATGCAAAAACTGTTATCCCATATCTCACTGCACTATATGCTAACGAATGAACTATCATTTTTTTCACTGGTAGAGGCACCAAGCTTTTTATATTGAAAAGAAGACATGCCACACTTCTCAATTTGGAACAAATAAATGCCATGTGATGTTGCCAAGACATACCACTATGAAAAATTACGCTCAAGTATCTGAATGTTTCGACATTTTCCACTGCAGAACATTTGCTTGGATTGCAATGTTCGGTGTGAAAAAAAATTGGTATATTCATTTTTTGTGTTTTTACAGGGCTTCGAAAGCAGATAATTTTTTTTTCTTTTCGTTTACCATTACGGAGTTTTCTTCGAATCATATCATGGCATTATGAATTTCACTCTGAAGACAATTAATCGCCCCTTCATAACGT